CCTAGCAACCAACTAGCAACACTTTAGCAAACATCTAGAACATCTAACCAAACCATTTACGTTTTTTAAACAAGACTTTAAGACAAGCCAGCATATATTTGTCTTTCAAACTTTTCAATCTAGTTATTACAGTTTTTCAACTGCTTACACACATTTTCAAAACTTTGCCTCTTTTTTTCAAAACTTTACACACAAATCCAAGAATTGCACACACAAAATGCAAAATGCCTCACATCTCTTGCAAAATGAAGCACTGCATTCAAAATATCACAAACACATCTCAAAACCAAACATTTGCAAACACCTTTGCCATAATATTAATTCCTGTGTGTGTTACATAGTGTGTTGTTTTTTGCAAAAAGTGTTTTATGAAATTGAAAACTGAGTCAGTGGCCGAGAATTAGTGTATGGTTTTGCAGATTTGGTGTGTGGTTCTGGTGTTTGAGTGTCAGGTTTCAGAAATTGTGTGACAAGTAAAGATTTTGTGTGTAAGCAGTTGAAAAAGACTGTAAATGCTTACACACAATTCAAATACACAGATGTCTTTCCTGCCCAGGGAACACTGAGATCAATAACACTGTAACAAAAGACTCTTACTAGGATTCAGGAATTATTTTTGCAGCTCATTGTCTATTACAGTATACATAAATTAAATTACAGATACAGATTTATAATTCAGCAATGAACTTTTGGGAAAAATTTGTTTTCATTTTACTACTGTAAAGTAATCTTGCAGTAAATGAAAAGCAATAGAAAAGTTCAAATACCAAATAATTGTATGAACTTGGTATGCACCACAATACAGTACAGTAAAAAATTAAATTAAAAAAAGTAAATTTAGCATCCTCTGCACATTCTGCCAAATTTCATTACAGTATACAGTATTATAGCAGTTTCTTGGTCTCCTGACACAAGACTAGCTATATCTCTAGGCAGTCATTTCTCAGTTCTGCAAAAATGCAGTACACATAAAAAATGGTTACAAACTAAATTTGACAGTCACGCGTTTGAAGGTGTACAACATGTGCTACAGTTTACTGTACATATAGAATAGCGAAGTTTCCATTATCTAATGTACTGGCACTGAACTATAATTATACTGTGTAAGTAGGCCTATAAAACCCCTGTAGATGATTGACTCAGCTCTCTCCTCTCTCCGTTGTTATAGGACGCAGAGATTCTGATTGGTGTGTCATCAGTTCCCTCTCATAGGCTCACTTCGATGCTGCGATGACGTCATCGCTTTGGGAACACCTTCGGTGTGACGAATGTCTGAAGCCCTTATACCATCACGCCAATTCATTGGCCAAATAGCGCTTAGCACCGCCCCCAAAGTAAATAAAGTAGGCCTTGCGTCTAACCCCCGCTATCCCGTTTCCGCGGTTGCCGAGGCGCCGCACGAGACGGTCGCTTGGAGTGACGCATGCGAGCCGAGGCGTTTAGAGGGCGAGTCAACGGAATTTTCTCCCTTTCTCTCGCTCTCTCCGGGCCATGTGCAAGTGCTCGAAGAGCGCTACGGGGATCCCGTGGTCTTCGTCAATGACAATTTGCGGCCTACCCCGGAAGCTCGCGATGCGATGTCTTTCGGTTGAGAAGTTACTGACCATTAAGACCATTCTTTTGGTGGCTTTATCCTCCCTTAAGAGGGTAGGGGACCTGCAGGCTCTCTCCATTAGTCCAGCTTATATCCATGATGAAAGTGGAGCGAGCGGTCGGAGAATCAGATAACCAAACAATTACGCGATGCATCTCAGACATATCCCGACGGGATTAGATTTCTCAGAGGACTTCTGAGTTACCTGAAAAGCAGTAATTATCTGATTCACGAACAAATGTATAAACAATTCGTTAGTAGTGAACTGGGCCGCGCTTTGTGGTTTTGACTCCGGTTCATAAGAGTCATTTGTTAATGAAGCCGACTACTACACTGGCACGCTACGTGCGCGTGCAACCATCGTGCACAGTTTATTGAAAGACGTGTTTTTTGCCATTATTTTGCGTACTCTGTCATCGCCGCAGCTGAAAAGTAGCACATGAAACACTGCTTACATTTATATTTTATTCTGTGATAATTCTGGGGTGGCAGGTGGGGTGGCACAGCTTTTTCTTAGGGTGGCAGTTGCCACCCCGGTAGATCTGCCCCTGGTGAATGCATAAGAAGTAGTAAGACTTAAAACATTTTAAATAAAGATAATTGTTTTACCAAGGTAAAGATTGAAGATGATTCCCACAAAACTATTTTTTTGCAAGCTTTTTCAAGATAAATTACATTTTTTTATTTATTTTCATTATTCACAATTTACGTATACAGTGCAACAGCAAAAACTGTGAGGAAAAAAATGTTACATTTGTTTAAAGAGCATTGTATACATACTATAGATTATAGATACATTATAGAAATAACTACAAGTCAAGCTGCAATACCAAACACGACCACACGGAGACGCCAACAGACCACTATACCAGTCGCCCTAACCTGACTGTATATAAATATACCGATCCATTCCGAAATATTAAACGGAGCAAAACACAAATATAAAAAGTAAATAATAGAAAGTAAATAAAAACATTCTGAATTTGTCGAATGTGGTGATCAGTAGGCAGCTCGACATCAACAGTGAACAGTTCCACTGTCAGAGTGAGTGTTTTTTGCCCATATGTATAAACACCACTGACCATCGCAAACTCCTATAAAAACAGGCTTCTTCAGCGAGTGTCCATTATAAAACACTTGCCAGACATGCGACCATACTGAAATGCTCCTGCAAAAAGCTATCAGGGAGCGCACAGACACGGTCTGTTTATTTGCACATTAATAATAACGGACTTGCGCGTGTCTAATAATGTAGGACTCCTGCATGTCACTGTAATCACCTCCATTACAATCTTCATCTATCTAAACTCCACTGGTTTGCTTTATTCAGCCCATACAGACTAGTCCTTCTTCTTCTTCTTCTTCTTCTTCTTGGCTTTTGCAACTTGTAATTATTACATATTGCCCAGCCAGACTAGTCCTGACTCCTGACTTCATAATGTCTTAGAGTTTGTTCCCACCAATCGCTGCACGGGTTAAGGTTACGTATGATGACGAAAGCACGTCAGTGCTGCTTTGCAGTGCCTGCAGTTCGAAAAAAAAAAAATCTTTAGCTGTGTCCGAAACCGCTCCCTATCCCCTAGCTATATAGTGCACTATATCGGGTGTCGTCCATTTTGTAGTGCTGTCTGAATTCTGATGAACAGCGGAGAGGACTGACATCTAGATAGATATCTAGGTAGAGAGAGCGAGTTTGAATGAGAGATCCAGTTTACATCTTTCTTATTTCAGCTTTAACGGTTATTTCATGCATTATTACAATAGAATATATTATTTAGGCATTAACTCATTAAATAGCCGTTAACTCAGATTAATGTTTTACTAATTTACTGAGGTGTACTCCACAGAACAGAACGTGACTTGATGCTGATTGGACTATATATCCAGAGGCAGAACCGAACAAGCAAGCAGTCTAGAACAGAACATTGACTGCTGTGATAAAAAAATCCCTTCCTTTATTATTTTGACAGTGATTTTATTCCATATTCCTTTAGCACTTTTGTGGCGCCCAATCGCTCTAATGAAGAAGCCGCCCCTGTATATATATATATATATACAGGGGCGTGTATATATACATCCGTTGCCCATGTATATATATATATATATATATATATACATGCGCAATCCAACAACTAAAT